ACTAAGGATTCAGCAGCTGCTTGATGTAAATAAGATTGAGACCCATTTTAGCTCTGCTCCCTTAAACTATCCTTGCTTACTGACAGCCGCAGCTTAAAGAACAAACCCGTGAAGGAAGACCTCCACAAACAATAAGATATACTTAGAGTATGTCTGTCTTTTTAGGGCAGAGTCTTTGCACTGAACAGTTCAGAAGGAAGTTAGAGGTGCAGGCTCTGCTTTGCTTCTCAGGTTATCTTTTGAATACTCAGCATCTGTTTCAAGTGTAATGAGTTCCTCCATTTGCATTTTTGTGGAAAGGAAAAGGTATCCAGCAGTAGCCAATGCCTTATTGATGAAGTAACTTAAAGTCTTTAAGTGTCACAACTAGTTAGGAAATACTTATTATCATTTATTTCAGAGCTTCTTTTCTTTACCAGAATAGAGAAGATACACCAGAATACAAAATCAGCATCACACCTCTACACCTGGCTGGTATTAATGAGCAATTAACAGTGATGGGATTTGACTGGCAGTGCCATGACAGATGTGTACAAGACATCATCTCTGCCTTTCAATGAGGAAAATGTGCTGAAAAATGCACGTGGATCAACTGCCTCTACTTTGTCTCTTGGGGTAATCTAGAAGACCCTTGGCACTTTATCTAGCAGGCACTTGTTTCTCCAGTTGAAACCCTGACTCTTCAGTGACTGCCTTGGTGTAAGGCTCACACAGATGCAGAAAATGCATTTGGTGCACAGCTGGTACCAACCACCCTCTGGGACAGCACATACACAGGACCATACAGAGCTCCCATAGCAAGGCTCAAAGACTCTTCACCACCTGGATACAAAAGCACAGTTGTGCTAGCATGAAGGCCACTTGGTACCACATCTCCACAAAATGCCCTTTCCAAAGGGAAAGGCACTACCCAATGAATGAAGAAAAGGTCAAATATATTCACATTACCTCAATGTGGGCTTCTGCTGTCATGTTACAGTGTTTTTTCTATTCTAACTACTACAAATGGTCAGAAAACAAATCCTATTCCCTTTTTAACATTAAAAAAAAGTAATTAATGAAATGAGAAGAAATTTCAATGGAATTCATGTTGTCAAATCCTCATGAGAAATATCCGTTATATTTACTTGCAAGGCTTCTCATTTGTCATTGCCTCCTTACTAGGTAACTGATATCTCCTTACCTTAAAATGTTGGTAACAAAAATTCCAAACAGCTCTATCATCAAACTAAATGCACTTCAGTAATTACCGGCCAATATTACCAGAGTACTTAAAGAACTTGTAGAACCAAACTAGTATGGGATGACATTATAATCAATAACTCTGTAGTCTTAAACAGTTTAACAATCTTCATAAGAAAAATTACTTTCAAAATTAACTATTTAAATCAAACTGAAACGATACTATTTACTCTTTCACAATTTAACAGACACCAAAACATACAGACATGAAATAATTTCGTAGACCAACTTCAGAATCACTATCAAGATTCAAATTTCAGTTTATCGAGTTTGCCTCTATTCATTCTCGCCATATGCTCAGTCCAAAAACAAAACTTTGAAAAAGTGATTGCAGTGTTTACATTTGTTTGGCCATCACCTGTTGAGCACTGCTAAGGAAACAGTGCCACATAACAGAGTGCCTCCGAGGTGCCTGCCCTCCCTTTGACAGCAGCAGATTCAATAGGAGAACACCAGCGCGCTGTCTATGGCTAGGCTGGGTCGGAACAGAGAGCTCTGAGGGGCACCACGCCTTTGGCGAGCTCCTCTTTTCGGGGCTTCTGCACTTCAAGCACGGAGTTGTTCACGTTGCAGTCGCTCTTCCAGCACCCTCTAGTGACTCGTTACTGTAATGAGTAACTACTATAAGTACCCTCTCTCCATAAGCCAGGCCTCCCCTCCCGCAGAGCTGCTTCCCACACCACCACGCCTTCCCGCCGCATGCTGCGTTCTCATCTCTGTCACGTTCATTTTTCTTTCAGCAAAGGAGATGTTCATTTTTGTGTACCACAAAGAAAACAGTGTCATTTCCCTTCAAATAAATACATCCCCTGAACCGAAGTCAACATATGAGTATATTGTCTTTGTGTTAAGTTTACTTAGGCAAATTAGTAATCATTTATTTGAGTCAGACACATCACCTCCTAAACAAAGGCATTATTAAACAAGCAGCCTTTCTTATCTCTGATTTCCTTAGAGAAGACTTCAATGCATGTGTTTCAGAACCCTCTTTGCACCACAAGCTGGTTGAGAAGGGCACAAAAAGGAAGGAGCCTTTCTTATCTCTGATTTCCTTAGAGAAGACTTCAATGCATGTATTTCAGAACCCTGTTTGCACCACTGGTTGAGAAGGGCCCAAAATGGAAGACAAAAAGGCATTCTAGACCAGCGGTGGAGTTTACAAAGAGAACAGATTTTGAAATGTACCAGACCCATTGCCCTGTGCTGAAATGCTGGCCAGCCAGCATCCCGGTGTGAAAGCAGAGTGTGGGGAGGATTGCTCACAGCTCCTAGGCTCCAGACAGGGATACAGAGCAGGGTGTTCTATTCAGGAGCAAGGCTGAGATCAAAGAGAGTACAGGAAAATAAGAAACCTGCTGAAAACCAAGACAAATATAAAATGTAGTTAGCATTTTGAATCAGATATCTGCCCTGTGTGGTACTACTGACTTAATGAACTGCAGTGGTACTGTAGTGTGCCCCACCCTTCCTTAAGGACTGTCATTCTGCTTCCTTGAAGTCACAACAATAGTTTTTTCTCTTAATCACTCTCACACTGTATTATTTACATTGGATTACACAAGTGTTGGGACAGTTTAGAAGTTTACAGACTAGGCAGAGTACATAAAGCTAACTGGTAACACTTGTTTTGGCCTGGAAGGATTTCCATCTAAGTTGGTAACATATTAAAAGTTATTCTATATTTATTTACAACATTAAAAAGAGATGTCTCAGAACTACAGCTGCATTCTCTCCAACAAGCTCACCTGTAATTACTTACACAATCACACAGTGAATTCTAAATGCAAACGAATCCTTGGCCAATACTGTTTGTTATGATTTATGAACTATTTGCTCAATCCATTGCAATACATTTCTTCAAAAATTTGCAAAGATACACCTTCTAGTAATTGCAATTACATTCTATTGATTAATTCCTCCTAAACAAGCATCAACTGAATACACTAGAATCCTTACTGAATCGAGTCACTACTTTGGGAAAGACAAAAGCACCTTTCTGCAGATAGACAAACCCATGAATTTTGTATACTGGAAATGGAAATTAAAACAAATAGATTAGAAAAAGCATACAAGGCCACCACTTCAAACAAATAAAATCAAACAACAGGTTAGATTAGTTTTGCTCCTTTCTCCATTGAATAACTCAAACCAGATACTCTCAGCATCTTCTAATATCTCAACTTCCAAAAACTGGTACAGGTAAGTCTTGGTTCTTTATACACCTGTGCATCAAACCACACTTAAAATATAGGTTATGACAACAAACTAAAAGGCTGAGTGCATCTAAAAAAAAAGTTTGTGGGTTTTTTTAAAACACACTCTGTGTGTGTTTATTAGTTACTAATAATTGTATATTATAATTTATAATTATTCTTTTTTTCCTAACAAATTTATGGCAACCACTTTAACTGTGAATACAAAAGTCTTTTAAACTCTGCCATAGTGACCCAATCTAATTCACACAAATATTCCATATTTTGAACATCACTACTAAAAACTTTGTGCAGCATTACTTGGAACAATTACACAGAGCATCTACATTTGAAAAAACCCTGTATATAATAACTAACAAGTGAAACTGATAATGAAATCACATTAATTGTGGCTGCACGACTGGGTTTTCTGCTGGAGTGTGGGAAGGAAAATCCAATTAATTGTGCTGCTGGAAGGAGAGAAAGCCAGTGCTGAGAGCAGTGGCTGTGCTGTGGGAGAACAGTGCTCTGCACTGGTTTGCTTTATCACCCTGTGCTCCTGCCCTAGGATATATGTTTGGGGGTAGTCTTGATCTCTACATGGTTTATCAGCTTCAAAGCCTAGGGCTGATTTCCTAAAATGATAAAAATAAACGTGCATCACAAAAACATAGGCATTAAGATGCACAAGGTATTTGCCTTGCTCTTTTATCAAGAAGGATAAGTATGCAAAGTTCCTGTGTTTTAACAAGACTTGACTACATTTAGTGTAGACCTGACAAAAGAGTTCCATTCATATAGTAATGTGGATTAAAGGGACTGGCTTTTCCTGGATACCTCGGGTTTTCCCTCTTTGACAGAACTCTGGCTTTACTGAGTGTCTGTGGCTCAGGATCTGGACATGATATACTGTCCCATACAGGAGGAGCACTAGGTTGCATCTGCCTTTGGGTCTAAAATACCCATCAGAATGAGAGCACGACACAGCTGTTGCACCCAACTGCAATTTCGGCAGCTCTTGTAAATCGTGCCCTCAGCTCCGGAGAGAGTGCACTGTTCAATTGCCAAAGCACCCGAGACTGGCAGCCAGGTTTCTGGGTGCACTGTGCTCTCTCACAGCCACCCGCAGCTCCCTTTGACCACAATACTGCATGGACGTGATCACAACTAGATCATAACGCACCTGTCCCTGCTATTGTCTGTGAAGGGTGGCTGTTTAAAAACCAATTACAGGCGTACCAGAGATACCTTCAACCCCGTGAACAGCCGCCAAACCTACACAGCTGTGCAAGAACTGCAATTGCTATTCCGGAGCAGCACTGAAGGGCGCAGACACCATAAATCACTGTGTGCTCCAGACACTCGCATTGCTTCTGACAGCGGTTTTCCTCCCGATACGAGAACACGATGTGCTCGGTAACTCGGCAAACCCACAGCTCGTCCAAGTCGGCGAACAAGGGGGGGTTTAGCAAAGCTTACCCATCGGTTTCCTCTGCTCAGCCTTTCTGCCCACTTAAACACGGGAGTTTACGCATTTTTCTCCTCAGACGGGCTCAATTCCAGACCCAGGCAGAGCACTCTCTCTGGCAGCCCATCCCGCACGCTGAGGCCAGGAGGCACCGGGGTGCTGGCGGGGGGTGACAGCAGCACAGCCCCTCACGGGCCGGCGCAGCCCTGCCCCGCGCTCCTGCCGCCTTCCATCCTGGGAATGGCCGCGGAGAGCAGCCGGGGGAAAGTTTCGGACGAAAACCCCGGTAGTGGGCACGGGCAGCATGCCCGCAAGCTCCACAGCTCGCCACACTCAGCAGCGCTCTGAGGGGCGCTCGGCAGGGGCACTAATGAAGGGCGGAGCGCCCTGTACAAACCACCTGGCGGCCAGGTGAGGGGCGGGCTCTGCTCCCAGGAAACCGGCGGGAGCACAGCGGAGGTTCAGGTGGGACATTAACCATTTCTTCAGAGGAGGCGTTTGTCAGGAGCTGCGCAGCTCCCGGCGGTGTTTAGGGACAGCCCGGACGCGGCGGTTTCGGCGCCGCTCCGCTGTCTCCGTGAGGGGGCGCGCGCGCCGCCCGCCCGCAGGGGCGGCGGCGGGACAAGATGGTGTCGCCGGGCGCGCTCCGCGTGGTGCGCTGCGGCGGCGGCGGCCAGCGCGGCGCCAGGGCCGTGTTCTCCGCCGACTCCAAGCAAGTGGGCCGGGGGACCGGGGCTGCCGCGCTCGGGGGGTGGGCTCCTGAGCTGCGAGCCGCGCTCTGCCCGCCGGTGTCCCCGCGGCCTGCGGCTGCCGCGGGGCGCCCGGGCGCCTTGGGCCGGGGTAACGGCGTTTCCCCGCTGCAGGTACCTGCTGTACGCCTCGGGGGACTTCGTGAAGGTGCACAGCGTGAACACCGAGGAGACCCTGCGGCTGCTGTGCGGCCACGCCGACCTGGTGACCGGCATCCAGCTGAACCCGCAGAACCACATGCAGGTTTGTGCGGGGAGGGCCGGGCTGTGTCACCCTGTGTGCCGCCGCGGGGCTGTCCCGCGGCTGGCTGCAGCTTGGGAAGGGGCTGCGGGTGGTAAGGGCATCGTCCGGCTGGTGTTTGGCTGAAACCTGACAAGGAGGGCAGAGCTGTGTCGGTTTCCTACACACACAAACGTGAAGCGTCACGTGGATGAGGCTTCTTGAATGGAATGACAACAAAAGGGAAATACGGCAGAGTTTCCGGTTGAAATTGATTGAAAGAGTGAAAAAAGCATGTGAGAAGGTCAGAAGCACTGTGGTTGGTGTTCGCCCATCTGTATCTGCTGGTAGTGATGCAGATGGGACTTAAGTCCCTTTAACTTGCCCAGTGGCTCCCTCTGCCCCCAGCCTGCCTTCCCTGCTCCTAGTTTGCTTGGGGTTTTTTGGTGTCTGGATATAAACAAGAGTTATTTTCCAAGAGGGACTGATCTGCATATTAGTTGTGCAACATTAGATCTTTACATAGTGGGTATCTGTGTTTTGTGACAATGTACATTTCAAACTACAGTAACAGTGTTGTGTTGGCACTTTATAGGAAGGCATCACAAAGGTGGTCTCTCTCCTGTATCTTTATTATTCAGTTACCTGGAATCATGGCTGTGATTTTATGTAGAATCTGGCTTTGATATATTGCTATTACTTATATAGTTGTTTGTGGTTTTTTTTATCTTCAGCTCTATTCTTCCTCTCTCGATGGCACCATTAAGCTATGGGACTTCATGGATGGCATTCCTATTAAAGTATGTTGACTTATTCCTGTTAAGAGCATGTCAAAAATGGGCACAAATGAGTCTGAGATGGGTTGTTCTACTATGAACACAACCTAAAACCCATCTAATTATGGCAGTAAGAGAATGTGTGATGATGATAATGATGCAGATCCTTTTGGGGAAGAAGGTGGGAGATGTGCTAACATACTGACTTTGCTGCCTGCTGCAGTTTTGAGTCCAGGGTAGCTCTGGGAAATGTTCTGCAGTTTGGGATACACCAATAGGAATTGATCCAATAGCTTGATAATGTGAGCTGCTTACTCTTGCTCACATTTTCTGCTAAATACCCACCTCTGGGTGTGCCTTCTGTTTTGTATTAGGGATCCTGAGGCTTTTCAGTAAATCTGATTTTTCATATTTTATTAGTACTGTTTTAAGATTGATGTCAGTCTTGGATAGAATGAAGATGTATTTGTCTTAGAATTGAGAATTTTAATTAATACATGAACATTTCTTTAAGACGTGATTTCCTTATTTTAAAGATGTACACACAAATGTACTAATTGTTGATTTCCTTCTCTTTTTTTTCTTCAGACTTTCACTGTAGGACCCAAACTTCTGGCACTGTACACACTTGCTAGTGCTGAGGACTCAGTGTTTGTTGTCATTCCAAAGCAGGGTGAACGAGGTACAGTACAGGGAGCATCAGCCATGTCATCTCAGTCATTCTGTGTCTGTGCTGCTCTTCCAGTGGTGTGCTGCAAGAATGGGCTTTAATATGCCACTTTTGAAATATTTTTTAAATCCTGTGGCAGATGGGTGTACTCCTGCATTTTGCACCTCCTTCATTCTCGTTCTGCTCCATCTATCATTCCAATATTTGTCTAGAAGAGTGCTTGTCTTTGCTTTTGGAGCATATACTGCATAGATGTGGTCTCATAGATGCAGTCCATGTTTGAGCAGTGCTCACCAGGGTACAGGTTGTACTGCTAAAGTTGGGTATGTGTGCTGGGGATTATTCTCTCACTTTAGGCATTTATTACCATAAACGGACTCATCCTATTCACAGCATACCTAGATATTTTTTAATGGGATTTTGTCTGTAATAAATACATCTTGGCCTTGCTGTGTACTATAATATATTGCTACTTCAGAGCAAGAGCAAATGCTATGCAGCTTCCCTTGGATTCTTCAGCTTACACTTGCAGTGGTACCCACTGCCTGGTCCTTGTTCTTCAGTACTGCTGCTGGTTTCAGACAGTTTTTTCTTTGGTCAGATACATTCCAGCTGGTCTCAGTTAAACTGACAAAAGGAGCAGGCCAAGATCTGGAAGGCAAGGAGCTCTCAGTGGTTCTGGATGGTGTGGATGCATCAACGAAGCAAATTGCTTTTGGAAGAGAAGTATGTTCACCTCTGGGTTTTTTTCTTCTCTGGGTGTTGGTTGGGGTTCTTTTTTCCTCTTAAATGAACAGTGTGCTGTTTATGCCTTTATACAAAGCACAGCAGTACTGAAACAAAACTGGAAGTAAATGAATCAGTGTAAGGACTGTACTTTTTTATTATTACTAAAACAAAATTTTGACATTTATAATGGGAAAGTACTTACTCAACATCAACTTATATGTCATCTCCAGAGTAAAGTATTTTGTAGTGAAATGTGCTTTATTTTTACCTTGTGTAAAAATATAATCTGTATGTCATAAATGGCTTTACTTTAACAGGATTCATATGTGGTATCAGTGAAGGATCTGAATCTCCAAGTTTATTTTTTTAAACGGAAATTGTTGAACAGGTAAGAATAACAATAAAAATGTCAGATATTCATCCAGTCTGATATATCCTAAATAGTTTTTAACTCATGATGTGTGCACACATGGTCTCATATTTGGTTTTCTGCTGGAGGGGATGTAGTCACTATATGAGAAGCTTCCTGTAGAAGTGAACAGGGAGCAGATCAGTGCAGTGGTACCTTACCTTTGCAGCTCAGGAATGTATTTTTTTCAGTTAAATACTTAGGTTGTTGCTGACTGAAACAAGTGACATAGTTTGAGCAGTGCCCAGGCAGCGGGAGGGAAGCAGGAGAAAAGAAGAGGGAGAGAAAGACAGAAGCAAAAACTCTATCACCTTGATTGAAGGTGAAGAATTAAGGAAATCAAGAGGAAAATAAGTCTGTCACTATTTTTGAGAGTGCATATAACCTAACAACTTGAAAATATTTCATTTTTCTAATCAGAATTATTTTTTGTGTGCACTAGCTGATCCTTTTGAAGATTTGTTGTAGAAAAACCAACCAAACTCTTACAAATAAAGATCCTTTTTTGACTTTTGAAGGTTTTCTTTAAGTACAGCGAAGACAAAAGGAGACAATCGCTTCAGTTGTGTCGTGTGCCATCCTACAGAGGATTGCATTGCAACTGGCCATGCTGATGGAAAGATTCGCCTCTGGTATGTGCTGTTTGGTTAACTGTATCCCATTAACTCCTCTGACTGTAGGAATTAAGTCAAACCTGAGCAAAGCAGTCTAATTTGTCCTTAGCACTGCCGTTTTCAGAAGTCAGAATGAGCAATGAACCTGCAGTGCTGACAGTGTATATGTCAAGTGGAAAAATGCCTATGTTAAGTTATGCTGCATAAAATCTAAACTTGGGTGTAAAAGGTAATGTAAGAACAGGTGAAATAACTCTTTATGGGTGAGTAGAAGAGCACATCAGTGGAATACACGATTAAAAGCATTACATGGTTAAGTTGCTTCCAGGGCTGGGTTGCTACCTCACATCTAATATGTGAGGTTTGGATTAGGAGGCTTCTGAAAACCTGTAGTGTGGTTCCTTTCCTCCTTCTGCATCACTTGAGCATAGGATAAACTCGTCTAGAAGTTAGAGGACAGGATGATATAATTGATTCAATTCAATATTTCCTTTGGTTTACTCTATTGTTGATGTTGTGAGTAAATAATTGTTTTGTTCCTCTCCACACAGGAGGAATTTCCACGACAGGAAAGCGTACACATATTCTGCACTGCACTGGCATCATGATATTGTCATGGATCTGGCTTATTCTATGGAGGGTGAGTAAAAGAGAAATAAAAACCAAAACAAAGCAATAAAAAAACCCTACCAAAAACCCCCCAAAAATCTCCATCAAACAAACAAAACTTTCTCAAATTTGAAGTGTTGCAGCGGACAAGGAAGAATCTATAGAAGCTCCAAGTTTGTCCACTTAGTAACAAGTTAGTTTCTAGAATTTTAAGTGTATCCAGGAAGGATCTGAAATAAAAACTAAAGGAGGTTTTTTTATATGCATTTTGATTGGCATTTATCATGTCAAATATCTGCCTCTTGTTGTAGAAGGAAAAATCTAACCCCTTCTCTCACCTCTTCTCCCTCACCTCTGCTCTTCCTCCCCTTCCGTTTCATTAATATTACTGATGAGTTCTTGCCAGTTTTACTTGCATTCAAATAAAACAAATCAGTCTCTGAGCTCAAACCTGCTGTCAGAAATACTACACTTGTATCTGAATTGTGAGATCGGAATTATTCTTCTTAAGGTATTTCTTACTGCAAAGTACTTTTCACAGGAGAACAATTCAGCCGTATCCCAACACAAATATCCAGCTGATTCAGAAAGTGATGGGATCTACTACTCCCAAAGCATTGCTTAAATTTCACTGTAGACACAAGTTCCTGTTACTTAATCCATGTTTCTCTAGCAATTTAACAGGAGATAAAGAGAAGCATGTGTATCTGTATTGGCTTGGTATTATTGTTTACTTGTGACAGTTTAAAAAGTTTTGAGAAACTCATGTCTGTCTATCATTGTAAAGACACAGGCTGCTGATTTTATTTCTTTTTAAGCAAACCTTTTAACTGTATTTTGTTGCTGGAAAAGGAACCAGGTTGCTGAGTGGTGGAGTTGAATCTGTTCTAGTCCAGTGGCACAATGAGTCTTCATGCCAGAAGGATTTCCTGCCTCGTTTGGGGTCTCCTATCGAGTGCATCTCCATGTCCTCTGATGGTGTTCTCTGCTGCACCCTGCACACAGACAACAGTAAGCCAAAACACATCCAAATATCACTTCAATGGAAATGCAAATCTGTCTGAGATTTGTTTTGTTGATTTTGGATGAATTAACTAAGAACTGCATAAAATTTCATTAGTGATCTGAAAAGACAAATTCTTGTTCTTTTGCTCTTTGATCAGTTCTGTGCATTTGCTTGGTGACTGCTGTAACTTAGCTTTCCACCTTGGTGTCATAAACTGGGAGAAGATGCATTTAACAGTACACATGGTTACAGTTCTTTCCCACCAAGAGATGTGTGCCTTTTGCAAGACTTGGTCTTTGCTTTCTCTTTCAGGAATTACAATAATCAACAGCAACCTAAGGTTTTCCAGAAGTATTCAAGGGCTAATCAAAAGTAAGTGCAGTAAAATTTGTCTTCCACTTAGAGGATGGAATGTGTCACTTGACAGCTTTGGTCATTTGTCATCTGAATTTTGTTTCCAGGTAGGGATGTCAAGACTGGCCTAGTGGTTGATCCTAGAACCAAAGCTTTGGTCCTGAATGGAGAGCCAGGCCACTTGCAGTTCTATTCCCTCCAGAGTGACCAACAGTTGTTCAGTGTAAGTTGGATGGACTTATACCAAAACTTTAACTTACTTAAGTAACTTGTGCATCAGGATTTGAAGACTTAATATGGCAAATGGCAAAAAAACCTTGCCGGTATCCCACACGGCTGGATTCCAGGCTGACCTGTTCTTGGCTTTATCTCTGACTTCACGTGCTAAGCAAATCTAAATACTGGTATTGAAAAAAGTACTGTAAAACAGTGTGTATCCTCTTAAATGTAAAAAATTTGTAGGTAAAACACCTTCAAATTATTTTTCAATCTTTCTTACACTTTCCATCATTGTGGAACGCATGTGCTCTAATTCTGCTTTCCCACATGCTGGCATACTTCTTCATGCCACAGCCCACTCAGGTCTAAGTGGAGCCCTCAGAATATCCTTCCTCTGTGGTTTCATGAGTGGTGTCTCTTCCAGCTCTGTCTGAGTTTGAAACCCACTGTGGCCTTGCTTTGCAGCTGGACATTGTGCAGCGGCAGTACATCCACCAGGAGGGCCTGAAGCAGTCAGACCTGGTGAAGGTCGCGTTCAGCGCCCGGGGCACCTGGCTGGCCACGGTGGAGGAGAGTGAGGAGGTGACTGACCCCGAGCTACAGCTGAAGCTGTGGTTCTACAGTGAAGAAACACAAAGGTAACAGTACAGCTGCCCTTGCAGCTGTCAGTCACACAAATCCCTGCACAGACATCGTCTTGCAAAGGCAGAGTTTTTCCAGACCTGGGAAGTTACCATGAACACTACAGCATCTGCAGCAGAGCACAGAGTTACACTGAATACACACAGGAAATAATTGCTCTGGATCTGTTTTACTTACAGTAATCAGAGACTGTTGTAACCATGGGACTTAAATTCACATATTTTCTCGGTATTAAAAATCATGAGCCTGACAGAATGGTTCTGTGGCTCATACAGTTTGCCCACCTCTGTGTAATCCATCATTAATTGATTAGTTCTTTGCCAGAAGATTTTAATTTTATTGCTGGGCTTTGTTTTTAGCTAACATATGCATCTGGTTAATAGTCTTTCCCTAATTTTCCTATTAAAAAATTAACATTTTGACTATAAATTATTTTCTTAAAGAAACAAGGCAAAAGAAAGCTACTACACAGATCAACCATGTGACTGATTTTCTAAGTACTGGAAAGAATGCCCAGGTTTCAGGCTGAGTACTTGAGAGATGTTTGCCTACTGATAATTTTTGGTGCTGGGCTGCTGTATGGAAGCCATTAGGGAAACCTGATCCGACAATTTGCTGTCTTACTTAGAAATTCCTTTGATTGCTCTTCTCCCTGCCCATTCCAGAATCAACCTGAACTAATGTCTTTCCCAGGTTCCAAATTAAATAGAATGGCAAGCTTTTGCTTTCTTTTCTTACAGCTTTTCACTGAACACCAGAATAAATACGCCCCATGACAACCACATCACAGACATGTGCTTTCGTGACATGGATGAACTGGGGGATGACTCTCTCATACTGGTAACAACTGGCAGAGACTGTGTGTTTAAAGTCTGGGTGATGGTGGAAGACTCTGACCCAGAAGGTAAGCATGACCAGAATATAACTCTTACTTGCACCTTGTAGCCTAGAACCATAAGAATAACCTGAGTTGGAAAGGACCTACAATGACATTTGGAGTCATGCTGTAGGAATTAAGACGCTACTTTCATTTGCTTAGTTCCCTGCATTGATCTGCTTCTGCTGCTGCATGAAGTATTGTGTTCTTCTGAGCATCCTGTGATGGAGTTCTGCCAGTTCTGCCATAGTTCCACAGTATTAGTTTGGCTATATCAGGAACCTCTATACCAAAGACCTTAGCAAGCTGCTGCACAAGGGAGTGGCAGCCTGTGTTCATTGGTTAAAGAACTGTTTGTGGTAATGATTTTTCCGTGCTAAGAAAATGGATTTTTGTCAGTCCTCTGGGTCAGCTTTTCATTTGAGTCTCCTGCTCAAAGGAGCAGGATGCAGAAGTGTGTTACTCTGTTTGAGCTTAGTGTAAAATAATAGCACTTCTGCAATTCAACATATCCACCACTTCAGAGTTCACTTTTTGAACATCCTTCCTTTCCATTAGGTACTTGAACATCATGGAATGGGTATTTAGGTATTTCTAAGATACTTTTAATAACCAAATTTAACCTCTTGAAAGGCATGCTGATGTTCACCTCTTTCAAACAGACCATCTGTGTATGTTTATTGATTGTTGTGTATGCCTTTGGACATGAAATATAAAAGATTTCCAGCATATTAATGTCCTTTTACTTCATTGTTATTACAGTGTCAGGCACACTTAAGTGAAGTGGCACTTTCCTGCCACTTGGCTGTCTTGTCATTTCATGTTCCTATGTAGCTCTGGTAGTGGTCTTGCTGAACTGCTTGCAGTTTAGTAATCTGTCTTTTCATGGGCAGGTGAGAACATGTTCAAAAGTACTTTGGAGCTACTAGGGTTTCCATTTGGCAGACTTTGCCAGACTTTCTCTTTCCAATCTCTTTGTCCCTCAACTGTGGCCACTGATGAGAAGAAAGACAAAACCTTGTGTCATTTACTGTATTAGTAGTAATCTCCCCAATGGTATCTGAAAAGTGTTTGGCTTTGCTTTTTTTCATAAATTATTCTGAGGCTAAATTATACCTTAACTTAATGAGAAGCTACTTTGATCTTGATTATAGTGTCAGTTGGGGATGAAACTTAATTTTTTTTCTCCTTCCACAAGATAGTTTTGTATCTGCTGACTGGCCTCATCACGGTGTTTGTATTTTAAGTGCTGCAGGGTTCTGTTTCATGGCATATGTGAAAGTACCAATTAGTGGTGACTGCTGTGCTGTATTTGCCCAGTGGGGCAGAGTAAGAATGCTCAGGTAGAAAGGCTTGACATGCTGCAGCTTCTCTGCAGCAAATACTAGTTTAGCAAAGAGCTCCTCAGTTGAGTTAACTCTGGTATGTATTAATTGCAGCGGGTCTCTTGCTGGGCCTCTAGATGGTGCCATGCAGTTGGAAGTACTCAATTGCTTCTGGCTTCCTTTTTTTCTTTTTCTTTTTTTTTTTTTTTTTTTTTTACAGGCAGGTCTTTTAATCATCAACTTGTAGCCATTATATAAAGGGTAACTTAGCATAGAGTGATTTTCCCTTTTTTTCTCATCCTACCCAAATGTTTCAAAAGCATGCTGTAGGAATTGTTTTATACTGGGAAATGTGTGTTAATGTGGTAAGTACATCACTTCTCTCCAGTTTATTTTCTGGTAACTGTCAACAGTGGGAAATGTGTCCAAACAGAATGCAATGGCAGCTGAGCCAACAGAAGGAAGCATGCTGGTGGGTCACTTGGTGATGCTCAAATCCTCTGTAGGTGAACCATGGGCTATGCTGGACTCAAATGCAAGCTGTGTTCAGATTTTGAGTAATGCTCCTGTGTTCCTGCTGGGGTTAAGACAGAACAATTTTTCCAGAACACTAAGTGTTGAATCTACTTGAGTATCATTTTATCTAACCTCTGCATCTGTGAGAGCACAGGTAATGGAGTTGGCAGACTAAGTATGAATATTTTACCATGTCAGTCTCAAGGTTCACTGTTCAAATGCAAAACTGAGGACAAATGAAAACCCTGCCAGCTGTTTCTCGTATTAGAACTGGGCAGATTCACTCTACTCCTCAAAAACTGTGACAGAAAACTGCCTTGCCTTGAACCTATTTTGCAGTAATAATTGAATTATTCTTTTTTCATGTATGGACTTGAATTAACTGGCTTGTTCATTCAATGCAGCACACCAGAGTGTGAGCTGGAGCTGTGACTTCGTGGGCAGCTACCACAACTACCAAGCTACAAACTGCTGCTTCTCAGAAGATGGCTCTCTGCTTGCTGTTAGCTTTGAAGGAACTGTCACTGTATGGGATTCACTTACTTGGGATCTTAGGTGTACATTTTGCCATCCACCTGGAAATATAAGGTACATTTTTCATCTGCTCTTCTATGTCTCATTTGAACTCTCAGAAAAGAAGGAATCAATTCATAGCAGTCCAAGACCTTGTATATGTTCATAAACATATATACATAAACATTGAATTTATCAGTCTTAAATTCATATATGGAAAATACTGAAATGGCTTTTAGGTGTTGGTTAAAAATAAGACTGAGCATTGCAGTTCGTTCTTACTTGCTTATGTCTCTTGTACCTCCCATCCTTGAATCTGTATCATGGAGCACACAAGTAGTGTGTTGATAGCACTTCTCTTTTCCCCCATTCATCCAGGGGTGAATCAGAGTCCTGGAAAAGTGTAAATGCAAACAGTTGGTTCTTTATTTGTGTATGCATGCATGCAAATGGAAATTATATCAATAAACCATAAAGGCATGATGACCTTACCTGTACTGTGAAATACATATCTTGATCCTCTGTAACCTCTGTCCAAAAATCCATGTTTTCCTGGCAGACTGTCCCAGCAATGCTCCATTATATGCTGTCATGATAAAAGACATCATCATTGTGTGGTCACAATATTTTAAAGACTCTTGACACAATGAATCATAGCAGCATACAGAGGTTTCTCCCTTCCATGTGTTGTGTGTATGTTTGTATGCTTTTTTTGTGTGATGAAGTCTGGTTTATGTTTGTCCTCTAAGATTAGAAATTGAGAAATGTTATTCTGAAACTGGTGTGGAGGAAAGTTGTGGGAGGCATGTGAGCCCAGCTTGGCCACCAGCTTGGTGCAGTGGCAAGCTTTTCCCAGGCCAGCTGCCTCCTCTTCTAACCTTTATTGTTTGTTATATTAAAAGGAAGTAAATTACTCTAGGAATAGAATGAATTACTGCATTACCTGCATAATTTCAAAGGGCTATGCTTTAATATACAAAAATTTTTTGAAAATCTTTTATCATTAAAAGTCCCAAGGCTGTTCTCTTATTCTCAAACAAGAGATTGAGAAATGAAATCACATGCTTTCTTCAACTGAAGCAGCCTATAATTACCCTTTTTTAACAGCTTTTCTTGTTCTAGTTGCTAAACAATAATAGAACTTCTTTAATTATTAAATTATTTTCCAATCCCAGTGTGAATACTTAAAGTTATGTGTGGGTTTGTAATTTATTTTAGAGTTTTAAATCCCTCCTTTATATTGGAATGCTGTAGAAACATGTAATCCTTATGCATTTATGCACACTTTAACTTATCAGACTTATCTGAGAGTTATATGTGGAGTTTCATGCCACTAGAGGTGAATGCAAAAAGCAAACTTTGGATTTAGATACCAAAACTAAATCATGTAATCCTTATGCATTTATGCACACTTTAACTTATCAGACTTATCTGAGAGTTATTTGGATTTAGATACCAAAACTAAATCAAAACTAAATGTTTTTTGTGACTTGTGAGTAACATACATATGAGATACATAGAAAAACAAAGATGAACTCTGAAGGTGACTAATTTGTTTTGACTTTTTACTTCTGTAGGAACATCTGCTTTGGGAGACTAACATGTTCCAAGTACCTTATTGGTGCCACTGATTATGGCTTTCTGTGTTGCTGGAACCTGCTCACTTGTGCATGTAAGATCAGCTTGAATGTGTGCTAGAGTAATTTATTACTTGAAATTACTGTGAAACCTTTAAATAAGTCTAGTTCAGTTCCAGATTTAACACACTGCAAAATGCCCTGTGGAAATGGAATTATTTTCATAGTTGGGATAGTATCCTGTCCATGTGCAAGTGCTTTGTGTGTGCAGAATAAATCTTAGGTTAGGTGAATGATTACCCAGTAGTAGGTAGTATTTCTTACACTTGTGTAGGAGTTGGTAGCATTTGTGTGTTTCTATTCACCAGGGAATGAGTGGAGCTGCCTCTTCCAGCAGCTAAGGCCCTGTGTGTTTGTTTGACCTTTTGTTTGGCTCCTTTTCACCTCTGGCTCTTGCTGTGCTTGCTTTTCAGTGGAGTGGAGTGCCCACCTCAACGTCGTAGTTCTGCAGGCTGATCCCCTTTCTGAACATATTGCTGCAGTCTCATGGCTCTCCAAAGAGTCCAGCTGTAAGTACAAAGCCTTCTTTCACAAGTCATAATCAGCAGAATTTAAAACTGGGGAAGCACTATTTCTAGAAAAGGTTTTCTTAGAATTCAGACCATGAAAGCTGGAGAGGGACTTCAGTGTGTGCTTGCACCTATGGAAACTGAGCCATTTCTTACAGCAGCATTCAAATAAAGTGAGTTACCTTTTCTTCCAGCAGGTAGTTTCAGGTACAGGATATATCTCAGGACTAACCACACTTTCTGAGTGAGGGTCTCAAATGTTTTTGACCCTCTCTTGTAAATGCATAACTGTGCAGCTACATTTTAGAGCTCTGATATTAGATAACTTCCTACAGAAATGTTAATTTCCAAGTGTGTTCTCTGGACTGGAGTACTGTGAAAGGTCCTTTCTATTACTGAGTAAAGTTATCCAGTTATAGTCCTGTGAACTGGTGCTTGGAGGCAATCCTGTCCAGCCTTCCTGGCTGTGATACACAGGGCTTTGACAGCTGGCCAGGAGCATAAGAATTTCCTGATTTAAAAAGAAGATATTTTTGGTTTTGCAGTGTTTGTGTTTAAACCAAGTGAGCCACGGCCAGTCTACATCCAGAGAAATCTTTGTAAAGAAAAGATCCTGCTTGCTGCTTTCATTCCAAGAGATGAACCTGAAATCATGAGCTCAGAAAAATACCTTTGGCTAAGAAAATCCCAACTGTTTTTTCTTACAGATACACAAGTAAGAAATAGTAATTAGTAGATGGTTCATGGGGAAAACTGTTTTCTTTAAAATGGATTAATAGGAATTCAGAGTTATGCTTATGAGCATGGGAGTTCCTATTTTGATTTCATGTAATTGTAAGCTGTGCTTTGTTGAAAACTTCAAACTGCCAAAACAGCCCAAGATCAAAATTATTTACTGGTTTTCTGCTATTCTTGTGAATAGTTTTATGGTGCTTCATTGAGACAAGACACTAGGTAACATGGGAACATTGCCTGTGCTGTTTAACTTAAGCATCTAGAGGCTGTATGGATTATTGCTGATTATTCAAATGTTCCATGTGATATTCAGTTTCCCTGAAATTTCTGGGTGGGGGTGTGGGTTTTTTTGTTAGTTTTCAAAAAAGCCTATAGAACCTCTAGGTTCATTCTTTCTTCTCTTCAGTTTCTTTACAAAATAAAGAGGAAGAGATGGTTTTGCCTCTTCCACTTGGCTGATAAAGTTTTGGGCCAGTTGGAAGCTTCTGTAGGCAAGCTGTGGAAATATAGAAAGCAGTTTCACATATGATAACTGTGCTGCATTCTTCTGTATTTTAGGAGCTAATGACACTTAGCACAAAGTCTCTGGAAGAAAGGCTCACGCCATCAAGCAAACAGGTACCTCTCATAGAAGTTCTGACTGAGATGGGCAGGGCAGTTCAAAATTCTGATGGTTATTTTGTCATACTGAAATTCCCTTTTGTCATGAAAATGCTCACCAGATCTTACCTGGAGCCACAGGCACTTAGCTGAAGGGGCAGTAATCTGGATTTGCTTATTTTTTGACAAGAAGTGCTGTTTGTAAATTTTTTTTTTAAGTATCAGTGAGCTGCTCTCCATTTCCCCTGTGGGGGAAAAAAAGAATACTTTTCTAAAAGATTCAGCTTACACAAATTAAGCAAAATGTTTGAGTAATTTCTTTCCTTATGTTGGTTTCTGTAACACTTGGAACCTTGAGTGTGGTCTGAACTATGCTTTCTAATGGAGATGAACAGTTGTGACATACCTGTGAGAAGGAGTTCCAGAATTGCATTCCAGTATGTATTTCTGTGGAGTGGTAGTCTGGGAAATTGGATTTTTTTTTCTTTAATTTATTTTGAAGAAGTTAAAACTGTAGCAGCAGCATTTGATTATTTGCTTGGTTAGATAAAGTAGATCAAAGTAGAAGTTAGTATCTTTCTAATACAAAATGCTGTGGGACTGTGGGCACGAGCAATCAGTTTCTTTGGAGAGTGGGGAAATAATTTGGTGTTCAGATTAATGTATATTGATGCAGGACAATGCCAAAAGTCAAGGTGCTGTGTTTTGCTTCCCACTATATAATTGAATCTCTCTGCAGATGATGCTGGAGATAAATGATCTTCTGGTTCTGTAGAATCAGAAAAACCCATCCTTTGGTTTTCTGGCACATGCACCACCTTCTGTGCTTGGAAGTTAATAGGTAGATCAGCAAACTAAAATCTAGTGTTCTTGGGGCCAGATTCTGGAGAGTTTTGTAACCCTCTGTGCAGGATTCTCTCCAGACACTTCACAGAGAATGAGTACGAAGAGCCACATAGCTCAGTGGAGTTAAATTTGTCTGTAGCCTTTTCTCACTTGGGTTTCTTCTGAATTTTGGTAACTTAAAAGGAGATAGAACTTAGATTTGTGACACTAAAATTCTACTTACATTTTTTCAAGCTGGCAGTAGAAGAAAGTCTTCCTGTGACACCATTTAGTGTGCTGCTGGGAAAGCACAGACGTCAGCAAGCACAGGAGGATACAGACCTTGGAAAACCAGTTGTTCATACCAAGCAGGAGCAAGCTTCACCTGCTGTCAAAGAGGTAGGAGTAATTACAGTAAATGTACAAGCAAAATCACAACCAACAAAGCCTTTCATAAAGCTTCTGTTTTATCTTTGCAGCTTTTGCACACTCCAGCACACGTTTTGCCATCTGCTTCCTTCCTCTGCACTATATTTATTAACTCATTGCTCATCTCCAAAGAGAACAAAAGGTAAGAAATGTTCAAGGACTCTCCTTAGTTATCAAAGTTATTTTCAATTATGTACATCTTTGTTCAAAGTGTAAAAGCAGTTTTCCAACACTCTAGCTATTCAGGAAGTTGGTAGAATACTTCAGTGTGGTAATGGTCTAGCTGTTTAGTGTGTTGGCTCTTTTGTTGTTCTTATTCTTGCTGGGTTTTGCATAATGTACTTATACACAAAACACTGCCTTTTACACTCAAATGTTCTCTATGAATTTAACTTTATTCCAGGGATTTAATGGCTTTTTAGTGCTACTTTTGGTTAAATATTAGAATCTCCACTTTATTTGAAATTACTATGACTTGCTGCATAGCTTTTGGTTTCAGTTTCTAGATACACCATTAAATTAGGAGTTTGATCTTAAGAATTTGTTTAGAACTTTAGAACTCTAATTAAGCTACAAAATACAAGTGTATACTGTAAGCACATCTAAGTTTGGCTTACAGTGCATTAATGCCAATTTAATAGAGTAGTTTGATGGGTACATAAAATTGTAGCTTTCTCCTTTGGGATCAAAGGAATGCAGGCACAGGGATTATGACAGTGGTTTGTATTAGGATTAATATCTTGTCGTTTACACTGAAGCCAGTTCAGTGATTGCATTTTTGTGCCATCTATTCATTAAGGTGCTTCATTAAACTCTGCCAGACCAGGGATGAAAGCCTGTCCTTGCAATCAGGTGTTGGTGTGGATTTGCCAGACACACGAGTGGGTGGTTTGCAGGGCCAGAGCTGACCCAGGGACAGTCACAGCTCCTCAGTGTGCTCTGGCTGCTGCCACGTTGTGCTGGCCACTGCTGCCAGATCTCTGACTGCATGGCACAACAGAACATCCACAGACCAGTGGCAGAAATGTAATACATGGGAGCTTGCATCTAGTTTCAGTCCTGAAGAATGTGAGAGTTCAGTGACCTGCGTAAATATTTGCACTTGCAGAGCTTGTACTTTGGCAGTGGTGACTAGTGTGGCTGTGCATTTAAAGGCACATGCAATTGTAAGCATTGGGCCCTTGAAGACTGACCACAGTTTATCACTGTATGGTGTATATATTATATAGTGGATATATTGTTAACATTAAATGCTTCTATTTTCCTTGGCAATATTACTGTGTGCTTCTCCATTTACATTTTGTGAGTAAAGAATAGTTTGTGTTAGAACAGATGATTTTTAGAAGACCAGTACTGTTTTGCCATGAAGTTCACTCTTAACAGATCTGGAATATTTATACAACAGACACTTCAAATAATACTATTCATTAATGCATTTTAAATTGTAACAGTTCCATATAATTAGTTGGAATTCTGCTTTTTCTGCTTTGTTCTACTTTCTACAGGCTTTAAACTCTTGAACTCAGAAGGGAACAGGCACTTTAAACATCTCTCGATGTTTAGAGAAAAAAACCCCAAACAACCAAAGAATTTTTTTCTTTCCTAGTAATGCTCTAGGTATTGCAGCAGTTTTAAGACCAAGTGACCCCTTTTCAGATTTGAAAGAGAAGAATGACCTTGAATACTGTCTCATCTACCAGTATATCCAATGTTTCTGATCCTGTAGGACTGCAATGTTGTAACATTTGTAATAATGCTGACCTACCTGCTCTGCAGTTACCTACTATATTTCAAGAAAGAAAACTATTTTAAGTTTACTTTGAGGAGAGCTATTTGAAAAATTGCTTGAAATTGAGATGGCAAGAGAAGTATAGTAGGTAGACTGAAATGAAAAAAAACATATAAAATCTTGTTTACTTAGTTGTTTGCATGATACTTCTCCCCTATAGTACTGTAGTATGTGAGAGTACCTATTAATTGGGTTGTTTCCAACCATTTTCCAGTGCTGAAGAAGTTGCTGATGAAGTAGAAATGGAAAGTGAAAAAGCAGAGGATGATTCAGATGAGGAAGATGTCACAGCAATGGAACAAGAAGATACAAGCCATATGGAATTATTAGGAGAGGTTACATGTAAACTGTCTAAATCCCAGGAAAAGGAGCTACGAAAAATAAGAAAAATGGACTACAGTTGGATATCAGCCTTCTAAACAGACATCTTACTTTTTTTATACTGCAAGTTGAAGCTTTGTGGATGAAATACTCTTTAAAAATTTTTTTCAGGTCCTCTGGCCAAAAATTTTATCAGCTTCTCTTTCGAAAGGAATGCAGAACTAGGGGGAGCGATTAAAGTTTTGAAAAGCTGTTTCTGCTCTTAGTTTATTACTGATTCTCCTGTGACCTTAGAAAATGCTTAACCTGGTTTGGGGGCTCCCCCCTTGCAAGTGTATTTAAAAGGCTAATAGCAAAACTGAGTTCATTATCTGGCTTGTGATCAGTTAGCAAAGTGACAGCTCAGCTGCTGAAAATCTGGGTTACTGCTGCCAAAGCAGCAGCAGCAAATGCCTGGAGTTGGTGACAGAGCTTTGCTCAAGGTGTGGCAGGGGAAGTCAGGGTGGTTCTTGGTGCTGTGTACAGGTAAGTAACAAGTCTCCTCCCCAGAAGTTCCTCTCCAGCTGTTGAGACAGATGAGAAGTGCCTGGTTAGAGAATATAGACACTAATCTTTTGTAGAGTTTACAGAGTATGGAGATTCTCAGAAAGGAATGCAGAACTAGGGGGAGCGATTAAAGTTTTGAAAAGCTGTTTCTGCTCTTAGTTTATTACTGATTCTCCTGTGACCTTAGAAAATGCTTAACCTGGTTTGGGGGCTCCCCCCTTGCAAGTGTATTTAAAAGGCTAATAGCAAAACTGAGTTCATTATCTGGCTTGTGATCAGTTAGCAAAGTGACAGCTCAGCTGCTGAAAATCTGGGTTACTGCTGCCAAAGCAGCAGCAGCAAATGCCTGGAGTTGGTGACAGAGCTTTGCTCAAGGTGTGGCAGGGGAAGTCAGGGTGGTTCTTGGTGCTGTGTACAGGTAAGTAACAAGTCTCCTCCCCAGAAGTTCCTCTCCAGCTGTTGAGACAGATGAGAAGTGCCTGGTTAGAGAATATAGATACTAATCTTTTGTAAGATTACAGAGTATGGAGATTCTCTGGTGGAGGGTGCACAGTGTATCAGAGCACTATGAAACCTTTCCAGATCTCAAGACTGCATCATGTAGGAGATGCATCAGTTTATGCAACAGCCAGTTTAACAGGCCTGTAATGCATCAGCTGCACTTGCTATGTGTCACTTAACTCTACACAGCAGTGTGTAGAATTGTTTGAAGTGATGGATTTGAAGGCCTAAGTCTGAATACAATCTCTGTGGTGCTGCAGTGTGAAGGCAAGCCTATGCAAATGGTACAGGTTACTAAAAGCTCTGAAGAAACAATATTTTGCTAAAACTATTCAGATTAAAAATGCTGGAACAAGAACAATCCAACACTCAGTGAAACCTGAGTTCTCCCTACTCTGCCTTTCCAAAAAAGTGGAGGACCCTTTGCTTCCTCTCCAGTGTTAACACCAGATAGTGGGAGGCAGTTATTGGCAACACTTAACTTTTTGGGGGGAAATTATCCTACAACAGAAAATATCTGTCATTTCCACCCATGTATAGAAATACTGAAATTCGGCTTCCTCTCCAGTGTTAACACCAGATAGTGGGAGGCAGTTATTGGCAACACTTAACTTTTTTGGGGGAAATTATCCTACAACAGACAATCTGTCACTTCCACCCAGGTATAGAAATACTGAAATTCATCCTTAGGCATCAAGGAAAGCAGCTCAGAATCATTTTCCTAGCAGATTTCTCTCCCATTTTAGGATAAAGGCAGTGTTTGCTCCCTTGCTGTGCTGGCAGGTCCATCGTCAGCTGCCAGAGGATTAAACAGGCCCAGGCTGCAGCCAGGGAGGAATGGATGTTTTAGCCACATCCAAAAATGTGGCACAACAGTGACCTGTACATTTAGGAATGAGGTCCTTTGGATGTTGAGCCTGCCATGGTGAAGCTGTAGGGGGAGTCTTAAACCCTGAGAGATGGAAATACTGCCATAGAGACAGGGGCAGGAAAGAGCTGTTAAAACAATTCCACCAATAGGTCTGAGTCCTGGCCTCAGGGAAAAAAAAAAAAAAGAAAGCCATAAAGTAGTTTAAAACTCATTATTACAGAAAATTACCTTTTAATTCTGTAAATTCACTATCATGGATGTCAAAACATGAATGTGAGGATGAAGATACTTCAGAAGACATTGGTATGTCTGCCATGCAACTTCAATTGAGTGATGATAGTCCTTGCACATTATATTTCCTTCCAATCAGACATTAATGTGAAAAATAGTTAATTGATCCAGTTTCAGACTAAACCAGCCAGGGTTAACTTAGTCCCATGGCAGCAAGGGGCTTCTGCATCTCCTCATACAATAAAGTCAGGCACCACAGCTCTTCAGACTACCATTACACAACTGTAACATTTTCTTCTATCACAGATTATTTACTAGGACTAGGATTACTGAGAATTTTAAGGAAAATTTTTCATAATTAGGCATTTTGCTTTCTTGTTTAGGCCTTGGTATGCAGAAAAATAGTATTTTAAGACCTGTAAAAGTTTTTCAAAGTTAGTTTGCCTGTAAGTTCATGTCTTATTTCTATCACACAGGGAGAGAAGGAAAACACACCCTATCACAACTCTGGACAGTTTTCTGCTTTTGCATTTTTCTCCCCTTGTATAACAGCTTTTTAGATAACCTCATATGTAGCTGAAGCAAAAAAATCACAGCTGCCCAAATGTTAGCAATTTTTATTTCCGTCCCTCTTACCTGCAGAGCTGAAACTGATACAGCTTTTCATAACCTTGGACCCAGTGGATTTTTCCCTAAATGAAAAGTTTCAACAGAACAAATGCGGAAGATTATTTAAGGCTGTAACTTACAAATGATAGGTTTTGAAAACTCAGAAACATTAAGGAAGTACAGGAAAATAAAAAGTAAAAAGATTCCCCCTCCAAAATATGCACCATACTAGGAAAGACACACTGAAAGGTTTTCGTATTTTTTTAAATAACATCAGACTTCAGCTCTGGGAAAAACAAGTGTGAGTTGAGCAGAGATCTGTACTTGTGTTGTTGCAAAAGTGCTGCTTCAAAGCCTGGGAGTGTGTTACTGTGTCAGCAACATTTAAGTGTGGCTTTAAGGGAGGAAACCTTAATATCTGTTCATGTGGGTTTTTTTAAATTCACATGAAAGTCAAGTGCTTTCCTGGAAGCCAAGCTGGCATGAGCAAGAGACAATTCACGTGCAAGTCAGCATCTGGAGGTGCAGTTCAGTTCTTGTTCAGGCAGCAGTGCATCGTGTTAGAAATCTTCATCAAGACACAGCTTTTAAATTTAAATCTTTTATCGTTACTGACTTGGTTTTGCTTTTCCCAGCAGACTGAACGTACTGGGATAACAGAGGGCCCTCACTTTGTAGTTCTCTCTGTGTGTATTTTCTGCTCAAGAAGGAAATACATTTCTGGTTACAGTTTTACTACAGTTAATAGACACATTCTTGACCAACCTTTTAGAAAATGTCTTCTAACTGATACTGCAATTACAACAATGAAGAATACAGAATACAGGCTGCTACTGATTTGTCTGTGGCTGCTTTGGAATGCTTTAGTTTTAAAACAGTTCTCTGCTGTTCCTTCTTTTTTTTTTCAATTTTGTGTATCTCAGTAGCCATAATCATGTATTTACTGTGATGCCCTAAGTCAAATCTTAATTTGATTTTTTGGCTTCTGCTTCTTCCTTCTCAAGGCTACTCTACAAGATTTTATTATTCTCTTATAGAAAGATTTGACAAAAAGACCATAGAGAAGAAGATTGAACTTTATCTCATTATTCTAGTTACATGATGAATACAATAGGTAAGAAAACACCTCTGCAACTTGTAGAGGGCAGTGCTCAATACCTGTGGGTGCCCTGTGCAGCACAGCAGGACAGCAGTTTCCACAGAAGCAGTCACTTTTTTATTTAGGCTGAGGGACAGAACACACAAGGGTGGCAGGTGCCTAGAAGGGGACTTGTTTACTTCCCAAATTTTCCACTCAGACAAGTAACTGGATAAACATGAGATCCTGAATTTCCAGCAGTTATGGCAAGCACTACAAAAAAATAAACATACAGGGAAGGCCTTTTGGAGCACATCATGGCAATGGGCTTTGACTGAGGGGCTGCTCAGGTGCTGCTGTAAATGCTGAAGAGATGACCAGTAATTTCAGCCCATTTATTCCAGTCAAGTGCAGTTCCACAGAGACTAAAAATCACTGCTCTTCACTGGCATTTTGTGAAGCCCCAACCAGTTATTAGTTAACAGCAGCTCCAACACATGCCCTGTCCTTGGTGGGCAGACTTGGCAGGAAAGCCGTGAGAAAGGGGCAGTAGTTGATATAGATTTTTGAGTTCAAGAACAGGGGAGAAAAACCCCCAGCAAATAGTTCCACGTGTTTTAGGATCACCTGGATCTTTGTATTTCAGCCTAACAATCATTGTCTGCCTGGCCTTGGGGAGGCTTTTCCAGCAACCTCCGTGTGCCAAATCCCAGTCTGCAGTGAGCCTTCTAAAGCACATGCTACCAGCCAGAATTAGAACCAGCAGAGAACAGGACAGAGGAAAACAACAACAGCTTCAAATAAACTCAGAGAAACCTGAACAGATCTTCTGCCCCATAGCAGAGGAACTGAGGTGTGTATATATTTTTGACAGATATTTGTCTAATCAAACCTCTGATGAAAACCATTCTATGGTATGGAATCTGTTCAGTGCTTACCTATTCTGACAGTTTTTCTTAATAAAAGTAGTCTTCCTTTCATGCAAAATTTCTGTGCCATTCTTCAGTAAGAATCTGTAGAAAAAAATGAAAGTATGCTGTTCTATTTCCTTTAAATAAAATAACATCCCTTTTAGTTTTTATTTTTGCTTTCCCCTGGTCCTTAGCAACACCAGAACTGTCCTTCAGCCCTTCTTTGGGCTGATTGCTTACAGGTCAAATATTGTTCTGACTAGTGTATCATTTCAAGGGCAAAACTTGTCAGGGTCATTTAATACATTTTTGGATAGTCCTAAAGCCTCTTCTTTCTCTGTTCTGTCTTGTACTCCTTGCTGATTACCTTTAGTATCTGAGTCTTTCTGGTGATGGCAGAAGCAAAGGCAGTAATTTGCACATCAGCTAACAGGCCAGTGCTTCACAGCAAACCCTCTGCCAGTGCAGAATCCCTGCACTGGTTTCTGTGGATACCCCAGTTCAGACTGAACAGGGCAGGTTTAGCTCTGGCCTCTGCACAGCATTTCCTTGAGGAGTTAAGTGGTAGGCTGTAATGATGTAAACTGGAGTTTAGCCAGGGCAGCAAGGTCATTCTCCTCTAAGGTTGCAAAAGACATTTAAATAATACTCTGAACAGCTCTGCATTTTAACTACTTCACTAACATAAAGGGCTGAGCTTGTCACAGTAGAGCCTCTTCACAAGATGAAATCATTATCAGAGGGCAGAAATCATGAACCATATTTGTGTCTGTACTGTACAGCCAACTCAGGATGAAATCCCTACTCTTCAGAAATGACTGACAAAGCACCCTCTCACTTTATAGTCCAGGGCCACAAAGTCACATTGCCAACAATAAGGTAAAGTACCAATTCTTTAAATACTGCTACAAGCAATAGTTCTGTGTGTGGTTTGAAAGTGAATGTAGCCCAAGCTTCTTACAAAGAATTTCTTGTTAATATTGTTGGTAATAGAGGGAACGAAGCCCTTTAGGTAAATACCATAATGTGGCTGTAAGGAAAGTTACCACACAGCTCTGGAACCTGTGTATCAGCAGTTCCTCAGGCTGTGGGTTTCTCAAATGCTCTGAACACACGTGTGGCCACCATGGAAAGAAGCATTCCCACCTAACATCTGCTGCACCTCCTGTGCCAACACAAGCGCCCATTACCTTTGTGGGGAACTAGCTGGGGGAAAAATCTGCGTGTAACAAAACCAGATAATACATGAATAAATAGTTTGAGATGTTCCAAGAACTTCAGTTCCACTGAGAACAGGGCAGGACTTTCTTCAAGAGGTTTCTCTATGCTCAGAACATGAAGTTTTAATGCTGTACACTCAAACCTCACTCATTTTCTCACAGTCTGTCCCTTGTGCTAGGAGAGCTGCCACCACACCTAGAGCATTCCCAAGAGATGTTTGCTGGGTGTGACACCAAGCTCAGCTCTCATACAGCAGGTCCTGGTTTCCCCTTACACCCTCTTCCTCTTCTCCCAAAATAATAGGTAAATAAACAAATAAAACAGTGGCCAGCAGTTCAAAGAAAATACTTTTAGACTGATGGCATTAAACTGCTGAGGTTGATTATTCTATTAGCTTCTAAAACAAAAACTGTGAAAGAATTGTGAGCTTTTTAACAGGTAAGGAAGTTTCATTACTGGGGCCAAGACCTTTGTCTTCTGTTGACCTTTCCAGATGCAGCTGTGTAACTAAGAATTAGGCTTATCATTCAAGAACACACATTGCAGCCATCAACTCCTCTAATTTCTTCATGAGAGCAGTAACAAAGGAGTAGGTAGAAGGTAGTGTCCAGAAAATAGTTTTTACCAGTTTTTCAAAATGGCTTTCTTATACTAGAAGCTAGCTCCTTTATTTTAAGCTAGCTAAATTATCCCAGCCATAAAGCTGGTTATCAGTTACTGTTATTGATGCCTCAACTTATGTTTGTTTGCAGTGCTTAGTTTATTTTATTTTTAGATTCAAGACTGTGATCAAAGCTTTGAATAGCTTGGCTATTTGATTTCCTTTAGTGACCAAAGGAGTTTTCATTTCTTCCTCAAACCAGTGAAACAAGCCAACAAACAAACAAACTCTCCAACATTATCTGAGATGTTATCTCTTTCATTTTTAGTCATTGATTTAAAAATGATGAAAGTAAAGTAACTTGGCTCTCTCATAAAGTTTGCTAGTCAAAAGCAACATATAATTTTCACCAAAGTCAGACACTTTTGTAATGAAAGGTTTTGTTCAGGCTAAGTTTCCCCTGTCCTTTGAGCTTCCTTGGCCCTACTCTTCTCTTACTTGCAGTCCTAGCTCTTCTATGGAAGAAATACAGGGAAAGCAGGGACATCTTTCACAGTTCTCTTCCTTTTCCACTTTGAAAATGAAGTTTAACATAGCATGAAGTTCCTCTTATTCATTAAAATTACATTAAGATAAGTCCTCAGTGTGAAAGACAACTGAATCCTGCCCCAGAAGGAGGATCAGAGGGCTTTGACACCTTGGGCTGTTGCCCTGGTGCAGGCAGGAGCACAGGGACTGTTGGGATCACGGCTGCAAACACAGTGAAGAGCAAGTCCCAGGACACATGACTTGATCCTCCTGGTTTTTCTTGTGAGCTGCAGATTGCTCCATTTCCCCCATCACTTCAAAGAAGGAAAAGTACCAAAAATATAACACTAAAAAACAGTGCATGAGCTCTTAGTACAAAGAGACTATTTAAACCCTGAAACAGCCCATCCTGAAAAGAGCCCTTTTTCACTTGGCATAGGGCATATGAAAGCTGGATTTCTGAGAACTATCACATCTGCAGGAAAGAAAAATGTTCATAGTGCTTGCTCCATCAGTCTGTACAGTATGTTATTTCTGGACTGCATATTCTGTGAGTAGGCTCAGGATACAGAGACAGTTTATCTTTCCTTTTCTATGAAATCTACTAGCTGATCTCAAGGATTAAGTGGAAAGAAAAACTCACATCAGTTGCAAAATAAATACCCACTTCTAAATCAACAGGTTAAATGAAGCCAGAAAACCACCCTGAATGCCCATGAGTGCAAATCACCTGGAAGCAATAAATAACAGCTTTCCAATTAACCAGCAAAGAATGTTCCAAAGAACATTTCAACTCAGAATAATGCAATGTAAGTAGAACCACTTACAAAATGATTAAAGATGGGCTGAGATATAGAAGCAGTGCAGATTTCCAGCTACCTCTCTCAGCTCAGAGGTAAATCAAGCCACTTACACAGCTCAGGTGAAACAATTCAGTAGATCCTGTAGAAATGCTGCAAAGATCTCTCTATAGATAGATAAATATAATACAACCATGGCTGAGACCTCAACTCAGAGACAGATACCAGTGCAAACACGAACATGTCAAAAAAGGAGAGCTTCCTATTTACATTCCAACAATTTCAGAAGTGCTTAAATAGTTTTCCAGACTAAATACAATGGTGTGATGTATAATACGGAAATCCTGCATCCAGAGAAATAAATTTAAGCATGTTTAGCTCTTTGTTAAGTGAGAAGGAATTCACAGAGACTCACAGGTGCTGCTCAGGTTGCAAGAGTCATGTCAGCAAGCAAAGGAACAGCAAAAGGGAAGAGGCTAAAAAAACCCCCATTCCTTAAAGGTTTAGGAGAAAGAAACCCCAAGAAGTTCTGTGCACAGCATAATGTTGATAATTTCCCCCATAATATTTTGGGTTTGGGTTTGGTTTGATCCCCGATGACAACTTTTCATCACAGGTGCTGCTCAGGTTGCAAGAGTCATGTCAGCAAGCAAAGGAACAGCAAAAGGGAAGAGGCTAAAAAAACCCCCATTCCTTAAAGGTTTAGGAGAAAGAAACCCCAAGAAGTTCTATGCACAGCATAATGTTGCTGATTTCCCCCATCATTTTTTGGTTTGATCTCTGATGACAACTTTTCATTTACCTGGAGCATTCACGTCCCTTTTCCGTATGAATCTTCTGGTGCCGAGCCACAGACTCCTCTTCACTGGGACGTTCATGGAGACTCTCTCCTCTTAGCAACTGCTCATCTCAATTAACTTCCTGCAGGGCAACTTTCCTGCAAAACTGACCAAAGGGTTCAAAAGTTATTTGGGAGGGGAGCAGTGCTGAGGGAGACGCACACAGAGAAATTGCAGGAAGTTTCATTTTTCTCACGGAACCAAGGTAGAAACCAATTCTCTCCTTTTGTACAACTCCCTCCTAGGCAGTCATGCCAAGTGGGAGAGGCAGCTGCTGAGCCTTTTCCCTGAACTCACACTCTGGGCCACCTGCAGTACCACGGAGGGAAGAGGATCCAGATGATCACACACAAATGCACAGGGACAAGAATCTCACATTAAGACCCTGCTGATCTATTAACTTAAAATGTATTCCAAAAAATGAAATCTAACAAATTCAGTCTAACTCATCGTTCTAAATAAGAATAATTAGGAAAGAACAGAAAGGAGGCTTCCTGCAGGCACATCAAAGGGACTTGAAAGATTACTACAATTTTGTGTTTTATTACAGTAATTAGTGAAAAGGTGTTCAACCAGAGATGACCCAAAAACGCTACACTTGCAACACAGCAGATCAGATGCTTTAATTTTTATTCCCATTATTATCAGTTGGAGGTTTATAGAACTGATATTCATTTCCTGTAGATTTACTGAAGTCTTATTCTGTAAGAGTTTTCTATAGCATCTGCTGTTTTTGCTTTCATCTGTTTTGATCTCTGTTGTTGTTTTAATTACCATCTTACTACTTTGCTCCAAATTCACAGGACCTAGAGCCTTACACCAACACAATTTTTTCTTAAAAAAAAACTGAAGTCTTATTCTGTAAGAGTTTTCTATAGCATCTGCTGTTTTTGCTTTCATCTGTTTTGATCTCTGTTGTTGTTTTAATTACCATCTTACTACTTTGCTCCAAATTCACAGGACCTAGAGCCAACACAATTTTTTCTTAAAAAAAAAATATCAAAGTTTTAGAGAGAATGAAAATATGGATGGAATTTGGAAACTGTTTTACTTCTGTTTTGATTTCCACACGTAATCTGGCTCTGGGCATCACGTGTGTGATTCTCCTAGGTGAGGTGCAGTTTGCCCAGGCAAAGCCCTGGCAGGAACAGTGAATTTTGCCTTTTCCAATGCTGCACACCTCCCATTCCCAAGGAATCAAACAGAGACAGGAGGGTTCACAGCTGCTTGGTACCCAGCCTGAAATGTGGAACAAGCCATTGTGCTCGGGTCAATGGGCTAAATATTCATGACAAGAAAGCAGACCTAAGCAAGGCAAGCAGGCTGCCTTCATTAAGGAATCTAAAACAACGTGGCTGTTTCTGACATTTTTTAAAAGAAATTCAAGAGTTACAAGGAAAGCACATCTAGATTAGTGCAAATGTGGTTGTCATAAAAATGAAGTTTAAAATATTAACAGCTTAACAGAACTTAGAAAATGAAAACTTTTAATGAATTACTTGTTATAACTTTTTTCTCCATAAGAAAAAAAAGCCTGTCTGCTTAACAATAGGGATTAGGTTAATTTTCCTAACATTTTACTGAAATAATCACTTTAATTGTCATTTTCCTTTAAGTTTCGTAATAACTACAGGCTCAGATCTATAGAACTCAGCAAGAATGAAATCAGCAGGGTTCCAGGGAAATGATCTCGGGATCTTGAGGTATTGCTATTTCTCAAGAAATTAGAAGAATAAGAAATACCATAGCAAACATTAAATTCAAAACTATAAATTGAAAAGCCTGCCTTTTTATTAGATCCAGTCAACACTAATTATTTCTAAAGTAAAATCTGAATGGTACAAAGCAGCTTTTTTTTTAATCCTGTATTCATTTTCCAAATTCAACTTGACTATTCATTAATGAGATCACACTACAAAGAATGAAATGTGAACCAAGCCATTGTGCAAGTTTGCTAATCCTGTATTTACTTTTTGCCCACAAAAAGGTTAGGTTTTCATGTTCATAAAGGAAAATTAGTGTAAATGAAAGAAATATCTGTTTAAGGGAAGAAAAACTAGAGTAATAGAAATCTGGAAAAATTAACAATTCAGAAATGCTGTAGTGCCCTCTTGGAAGGTTGTTACTGAGAGAGATTCAAAAAAAGGGGGCATTTCTGGGGCTATTTTCTGTAAAACAACAGTGAAATAGGGCTACAATGTGCATATTGCAGATCAGAGGGATTGAAAGGTACTGGAAAATATCAGGCTAGTCCAAGTTTTTAGAGGGAAAAAGGTCATCATTGCTTCTTTAGACTAAAGCCTGTCTTGTAATACCAGGGGTGTCTGCTGTCTAAATAGAGCACAAACATCCTCTGGGGCAAAGGGGGCTGTGGGTGGGCACTGGCCCTAGCAGAGGTGAGAGGCAGCACCAGGTTTGCTGGGGCTGGTAAGGCCAAATTTATATTCCAGATATGGCTGGAATAGGGGCACACTGCAAATATATTTGGCTTTCTTGACACACTGATGGAGAAAAAAATCCATCTTAAAAGCCATTACTAGAGGCTCAGGTTTATGAATTTTATGGCTTTGAGGGTTACAAACCAAAAGGCAACAACATCAGGAAAAAAACAATCAAAACCCAGGCTGATTTCCCTTCCACCCTCATGCCCCCAGTTGTAAGAGCAATAATATTTGTCATTTGAGATTATGGGATTTAGAGAAATAGGGTTTGTTAACCCACAGTGTTTCATTTGCTGAGTTTGGAAGTCCCTTGTGCGTAGGGTAAAAACCAAACAACCCTACAAACCAGCTGTGTTTGCATTTAAACAAACATTAATTGATTGAAGTAATGAGTAACCTCAAAAAATGGTTTGGAAAGTTCACAGCATCCTTCAAATGTTTGTAGACTATTAGAAATTAACTAATTTAATTTTTTATGTACTCTTTTGCTACAGCTGTGTGTGGAAGAAAGGGGTGGAAGGCACACCACGCTTGTGTGTAATGGTTAGAAATAAAAGTATAAGTTAAACACTCTGAAAGGTTTTCTTGATAGTAAATCTACCATCAGCCTCCAGTGTCCAGAGGACACAGCTCTGTTACACTTCTGCTCTTTAACAGAGGGGAAACACTGCAGCAGTAGCCTGGCAAGTGGGTCTGGGCTTGTTCTGCTCCTGCCCCTCCTGCAAATGCCCTGACACATCCCACAGGTGTGGGAGTGGGTGCTGGGATTTACAGGTGTGAGAGAGGATGGTGGGATTTACAGGTGTGGGAGTGGGTGCTGGGATTTGCAGCATGTTCTCTTCAGAGGCAATGGCCAGTCCCACCTGAGAGCTTAGGGAAGCTCTGCAGAGCTGGCTGGAGGCCCCAGAACCCTGGGAAGGAAACACAGCACCCATCACTAATGTAACACAGTCCCAGGGCTGTCCTCAGCCAGAGGAAATGAAAAAATGGAAAGGTAGGACTCATTTTAGATATGTGTAGTACCTCTTCAAAGGAATTTGGCGTGTCAATGGTATATTCCATAAAACAAGCCAAAACTTTCTTACTTTCTCAAGTATCACTCTTGTGCTGACAGATATCACTGCCTGGACAGATTTTTCTAACCACTTGTTCCATTCAATTCTTTCAGTGGTGTCTATTGCTGCCCTCTGAAAGGGGGTACTTTGAAAGCTGGTTACTTTGAAAGAGGAAATGCAACTTTTGGGACTATTTGATTTTTAATTTATTTACTAAGACTTTACTAGAAAACTGTCTGCTCTTTATTTACACTAAATTTCATACCTGTAATTAAATTATATTCCTATAATACTTGAGCCAATTACTTCTGAGTTTTTTCTGCAGAAATAATAATTAATGTAAAATTTTCCTTTGAGAACCCAATAAATTCAATACAGGGTGATGTTCCATAGCAAAGAATGTATTTCCTGCAGTATTTTGCCCTGTCTTTAGTTTAAGCAATATCAACTCCCAGCTGGGAGGCAGCCGTAGAAATCAGGACCTCTCTGCAATGCATCAACGTGCTCAGAAACCACTGAGCTGGTGGCAGCCAAGTCCAAAGCATGTACCTCATTAATTAATACCACATTTGTGTATTGTACACTGATTTGCTGAATAAGTTCCACTGCTATTCAGAAAATAAAGTGAGTAATCAGAACCAGATGATGTACACAGAAAATTTCTTATTTCCTTAGTTTAATTTTTCTAAAACTGTAGGGCAGACAGTACTACTTAAAAGGATAAAAAGAAGCAAATTTAATCAAAATTAGCTTGCAGTAATGGTGGTTCAGTGCACTAAATATTTGCCCCCAGATCAAGCCCTGACTGCCTACATAAAGCTGCATGTGCAGGAAGGTAGAGCAGCAGACCAAGGGACACTGTTAATTAACCAAATCCAGTCAGGGAAAATGTTCTCTTTGCCAGACAAGTTGTTCCTACAATACCAGATGCAGTTTTAGTGCATTGATTTTTACTAGTCCGAGTAAGATCTGGATTTTTCTCAGTCTCTGTGTTCAGAGCTTTAAGAGCACTAGAGTTACAAATTATAAGACTCAGTGCATGAGTTCAAGCACAGAAAGTTAGTCTAATTCAACTTACTGGGACAATTCAGATGCATTAGAATTAGAACATACACATTTGCAAAAATCAGAGACTTCTAGATCCTTTCAGAGGGTGAAAATGAGGGTAGGAGAGGAGACAGAAATGTCATGTCAGCAAGGTAGGCACCACAGCTGCTCAACCAGCTTCTGGTTTTCCAACACCACAAAAGGTGAAGGGGTTCCAAAAGATAGAGCAGGTGCTGCTGGTGTATAAAACTTGATGATATTCTTTATCTTCCCAAAGATCTGAGCTCCTAGATCTACCAAAAGAAAAGCTAACTGGACAGCAGTTCAGGTGCCTGTGCCTACAGCCACATCCAAGCCTACAAACAAAGGCTGCTGAAGCCCGTGAGGTCAATCAGATGGAGAAGTTGGGCAGAGAGGAACCCTTGTGCAGAGAAAAAGTCTCAGCTGAACAAACAGTGATTTGATCTTCCTTGGTTCATGCCAGTAGCACATAACAACAGCCCAAGGTAATCAGGCATGTAATTGTATTTGTACTTTGTATTTGCTAAGGTTGCGTGGCTTAG